CTGACTGACTGACTGACTGACTGACTGACTGACTGACTGACTGACTGCAAGGTAAAATGAGCAGCTAGAAAGGGCAAAAACTACAGTGATTATTGGTGGTGGGGTGGGGTGGGGGGGTTCTTCACATAAAGGCAGTCACGTCCAATACATGTTCTTTTAACTGAATGTTGTTGTTGTTGTTGTTACAATTGTTATTATTAGATTACAACGCATCCTTTCTTTCCCACCACACTTTTACGTTCTGATCATCTTACGTTGATCAATAATAGTTTTAGTCAAGCCTTGAATGTACTTTTATAAATAATGTCTAAAACACTTAACGATTCATGAGATGTTTTGCTAACAGACTGACTTAACTTCAAGTGTATTTACAATATTTTCAAGCACAACATTTTGTTTAATACTAACCAACACAGCTCTGTCCATTCATGTTATAAAACGATGTCAGTTTAAAGTCTGGCATGAGGTGGCGGGCGAGTTGCATTTCTTGAAGGCCTTTCATTTATTTTTGAGTTTTGTCATGTTGGGAAGCTTGTTGACATCTCCAGTGGTTTTTATTCTTCTCACTAATCTGTCCCACTCTGTGTCCTGTGTTTAACTATAGATCATTTTCATCGTGTCTCTTGCTTCAGAGCAAACAGGAACAAGGTCAGAACCAAAGCTGGAGCCATGCCAGGAACCTGAATACACAAGTCCAGTAAGGGATGGCCAAGATGTGGTACCCCACATTGACCCAATTTATTCCTTTACATCTTTAACACAGGTTACTACAGGGTGGCCGAGCTCAGTCTCAGCTGGTGAGGAGCTCCGTCCTCCTGCATCCAGAGGAGCTGCTCCTCCTCTACATTGAAAGAAGTCAGCTGAGGAGGATTGAGCATCTGGTTAGGAAGCTCCTGGAGCTGTTTCTGAGAAGGGACTCCGGGGCAGAACCCACTGGACGGATCGAGTATTCTCTCAGGTCTTGGCACGTCGTGGAATCCCCCAGGAGGAGCTGGAGAGTGTCACCGGGGAGAGGGAAGTCCACTTTCTCCCTTTGACCTGTACAACTTTGATAAAATCAATGGATTGATAAAGCTTATGTTTTATATATATATATTTATCTATTTATTTATTTGTTCTTTCTTGCTGTCTTTATTTAGAGAAATTGAGTTTGTATCTCTAGCTGTGATGCATCAGTGAACTATTATTAATAAGCTGTAAACATAAACCAGCGTTCCTGCAGATGCACAGCAGAGCTGAAGGATTTAAACCAACCAAAACAGGAGTTTGAAGATTCAGAAGTTTTTACATCAAAGTTGAAAGATTTGACGAACACACTGAAAAAGATGCAGATACTTTCTGACTGTGGAGACATGGACATGTTAACAAAAATAGACATTTACCTAATGTCATTTAAAACAAATTATTTATTTAATTATTTATTCATTCATTTATTTGTTTTTGTTCAGTCATGCATGATTTAAGAAAAGCTATTTCTCAGCCCCCACTGCACCCCCAATCATTAAAGTTCACAAACCATTGGTTTAAAAGCTTGTTTTATTTTAAAGGTGCAAAATATAAATTTTTATGATTTGTCGGTTTTATTTCATTTTATTTTCAAAGCAGACGTGGATCAGCAACACGTCGGTCTGGTTTGCACATTATCTTTGCTGTTCATTTCTCCACAACCTTTTACTAGTTTAATGTTTGTTTGTTTCATTGTTTGTTTGTTTTTTTCATTGTTTGTTTTTTAGTCATTTACAGTGTGCACATATTTCGTCATGTTCCAGATTAATTGTAACTTTATTTCCTCTAAAGAAAGGCTGCAGGCAGTCAGCAAACAGCCAGACAGAGGAAACAGATCAAGCTCTTGTTTTTTTGTTTGTTTGTTTGTTTGTTTGTAAACAAGGTGCTTTATTGTCATCAGTCAGTCACACATTTCATTTTTTTTTCTTTTGTTACACTATTTGAATATATCACTTTTTTTTTATTTCTTAAATTATAAAGAAATAAATGTCTACTGGAAAGGATATGGTAAATAATTAACATATATATATTTAAATGTATTAAAATAAATAAATTAAATTCATCTTTAGCGTTAGTTACTCGTGGCTTCACCATTCTTAAAAATCAGGGCTGAATGTAGAGAACTGATCCCCATCCTGTTGAAGAAACTCAAAAGTGTCATAATTTAAAAAATATATATATATTCCAAACACCCTTTAAGGTTTTAAATTAAATTTATTAAAAAATCAACCACTTAATTATTACAAGTAAAATATCACCCTCCTATAGACAGCATCACTTATCAACACTTGTACAGCACTGACATATGGAATATCATTCTTTACATAACTCTATACATTTTCTCTCTGCTTATATTCCTTAAATAAACTGGAAGCTTCCTGAAGAACAGCTCGTTTGAAAAAGTGCAAATTTAAGTACAGTGTCTGTTTTTGAAGGGGGGGGGGGGGGGGGTCTTGAACATAAAATAAACACATTGTTGTTTTTAAAGTGCAACAGACAGTTTAGAGGAAATGGTTCACAAACATGAATGCAAAGGAATTTATGGAATCACAACATTTCAGTGAAGACAGATTTTGTAATTCGTGTTTTTGGGTCAGGAGTTCTGCTCATTATTTCTATTTTTATTATTTCTACAGGAGAGACAAAGATATTTGTGTTCCTGGAAAGAGTCAAATTTACCAAGCGTCGTGTTCAGCTCTGACAGCTTTTAGTGTCAAAAGGAAAGCGCGCGCACCTGATGTTCTTGTTTTGTGCGCAGCGTTGAAGCGCACGAATAAAGAGAGTTGTTTGTTTGTTTGTTTGTTTGTTTGTTTGTTTGCATCATTATGATGATTGGCATTCAAACCAGACACGACCAGGAGGAGACTTTCAGGCCTGTTTGCTTTTTCTTTCTTTCTTTTAGTTTTTAATTATTTTAACGAGCTGAACGCACATGCCGACTTGTCTAATGTGTGAGACAAAACACAATATTCCAAGTGTTTCACATCAAATTAGATCATTTTAAAAACGACCAAAGGGTAACCTGGTTACTTTGTTTTCTTCTTCAGTTTACTGTGTGTGTGTGTGTGTGTGTGTGTGTGTGTGTGTGTGTGTGTGTGTGTGTGTGTGTGTGTGTGTGTGTGTGTGTGTGTGTGTTGTTGTGTGTGTGTGTGTGTGTGTGTGTGTGTGTGTGTGTGTGTGTGTGTGTGTGTGTGTGTGTGTGTGTGTGTGTGGACGTCTCAGTCGTTGTTCTTGCTGGACTCCTGGTCGCTCTGCTCGTCAGTGAAACAAACGTCCACGTCGCTGTCGCTCTTCTGCTCCGCGTCCTCGAACAGACCTCCTGGCTTCTCGTCCAGTTTCTTCACGGTCTGTCCGGGGTGTCTGGACTTCACGTGCCTCTCCAGGTCCCGCCTCCGGACCAGCACCTTCCCGCAGAAGTCGCACCTGTAGGGCGTGTTTCCCTCCGCGTGCAGCCGGATGTGTTTGTTCAGGTTGCTCGGGTCTCCGAAGGGCCTGAAACACACTTTGCACTTGAGCGGCTTGTAGCCCGTGTGAGTCCTCATGTGAATTTTCAGGCCGTACTTCCGGGAGTACAGCTTGCCGCAGTACAGACACAGGTGTCCCTTCTTGGGCTTGCCCGACCCGGTGCCGCCCGCGCTCCCGGTGGGGATGGGGTCCATGCGCGTCCGGCTCTTCTCTGCAGCGATCTCCGACAGCTGCTGCGTGTGCATGGCGATCTCCCGGTCTATGTTGGTGATGGAGCCCAGCTCCTGGCTCAGAGGGGGCGCGCCGAAGTAGGGCACGGAATCTGGGTACTTGAGGAGGTTGCTGAAGTGGAACTTGAGCGGGTAGTAGGGCGAGCTGTACAGAAGCTCTCCGTTATAGACGGTGAAGGGCATCAGAGGGAGGTTACAGTCTCCGCTGTAGGACTTCACTCCGTCAAAGTGAGGGAGGGAGAACCTCTCAAAGTGAAGCCCAGGCGGCATCTGGGGGTAACGGGCCGGGGACAGGCCGGAGTGCATCCGGCTCTCCACGTGTTTAAAAGCCGAGGTTTCCTCCACGTGTTGCAGCAACGGGAAACCCCGGATCGGGTTTGCGCACGGAACCATCTGAGATGTGGAGTCAATAATAGCGGGCGCGCACTTTGGCGGGTGACCTCCGCCTCCGTTCAGGCCCTCTCCCAAGCTGCGGATTGGTTTCATGCTCCCGATGAGTTTAGTGAAGCCGAAGCCGCTCAACTTTCCGTTTGCCTCCTCTCTGGAAGGATCCAGGACTTTGGAGACGCCAGTGGGCTTAAAGGCGGAGCGCACGCCCGGGTGGAATTCCATACTGGCCAGCACTGAAGAGGTAGCGCCCAGACCGAGGAGGTGTCCCTGGTTTCTGACTGACGTGACGCTCATATCAAGGGCCCTGTCCTGCTCCTCGGAGCTGCTTTTCTTTGACACTCGCGTTTTGTTTAGGAACGGAGAGGAGGACACCGCCCTCCTGCCGGAGTCTGAGCCTGATGAGTTACTGTGGCTGCTCCTGGGAGAGGTGGAGGTGTTGGAAATGTCTCCGGATTTGGGGGACCTGCTGAAGGACTCTGTGCCTCTGGCCTGCTCGCTGCTCACAAACCCCCGCCCGTTGCTCAGAGCACAGTGGAAGTGGACGTGGGCCTTGAGAGTGTTCGGGTATTTGAATATTCTCCAGCAGTACCAGCAGATGTAACGCTCATCACCTGTAGAAAAACAAATAAAACAGGATTTGAATCATGAGCTTTATCTGGATCACTATGGAGACGTTATCACTGTGCGTAAAATCCAAATCCGTGCGTAAAATTCAGATAGGCTAACTTTTAGAACGTAAAACATTCTCCTTCCAGAGCTCAAACCCACTCCGTAGCCAAACAACACAACCAGATACCTAAACTAATCATTTATTAAACACTTTGTACTCTAAAAGATGCGTTTATTTCTGTGCGTAAAATCCATATCCGTGGGGGAAATTATTCAAATATCAAGAAAATAAAGCATTCTTCTACAAGATTCTAAAACTAAAACACCTTCCCCTCGCATAAATATTCACGATATAAAATATAACTAAATATTGATCACTTATTAGACACATAATTGTTATGTGCATTAATTTCTGCAAAATGCGTCACTCGTGCGTAAAATAAAACAATGTTTTAGTAACCTGTAGAACAAAAACAGTAGGCTTAAAACAAATCAATAAAAATCGAATTTTAGTTTTTACTTCATTATTTTCCATACATTCCCAAAAAAAAAAAAATAATCCACTAAAATGACTGATGGAAACCAGGCCCCGGTGGTTTAAATTCTGCCTCTAAGATCTTGTGCCAAATGGTAATAGACACAGTGAGCCATCCAAATGACCCCCAGTCGGGCACTCAAAAGATAATATAGATGTAATGATTTTGTAATCCTCATGCAGGCCATTGTTTATGATCCCCATCAAAAGGGCAAACGCCCAGCCCAATCTGGCGCTCCGGAGCGGGGCCATTGAGCGCGGCCCTTTCCCTCTCTGCGCGCTTTCCCGTGGAAGTGACAGCAGCTGTTGCTTGAAATCGCAAGTCTCCAGAAACAATGGCGGCGGCCCATCTGTTGACGCCTCATAAAGAGGAGGGGTGTGTGTGTGTGTGGGGGGGGGGGGGGGGGGGGTATGTCCAGGAGCGCACACGGTGTGCTGGGCAGGAGAATCAGGGCAATAGACACCCCCCACATAAAAGTTAGCATTCATTAGGCTACAATACCTTAACGCACCCACCTAATTCACCGTGAAGCACTTGTTTTTGAATTATTAGCTTTTGAACACATGAATATTAATGACGGGGTGATTGGCGGCTGAATCTTGTTTTTGTGGCCCACAGCGAAGCTTCACTTTCTGATTTTAATCTGTGTTTCAAGCACCATAATTACTTTATCAAACGGATTATTTTCCTCTTAATTTGGGTCTGATGTCATATCAAAATTACTTCCGCTTGGATAAATGAGCCATAAAAGGCCTTAGCTCGGAACAATATGTCTAAAAGTTACCGTCTGTTGAAGGATGTGTTTTATCTCATCTTTGGATAGCCTAATAATTGGATTAGGAATATTAGGATTATTCCCTGCTGAGCTGCAGATCAGACTTTTAATCCCGAAGCTCAAACACAGAAATTACCTTTACTAACTCACTTAAACGGATTAAAGAGTTCAACACAAACCAAAAACATATCAGATCAACATTTTTAATACTGTGAAGGAAATTCAATCTGTAGGTTTGAGCCGCTGGTTTGATGTCTTTCTATGAAATATATATTTTTAATCTGTCCTCATTTTTAATTTATTTTTTATTTTTTAATGCGCAAAAGCAAACATTATAAGAAAGGTGTTTTTTTGTTTGTTTGTTTGTTTGATGTTTATCAAACTAGCACAACTCGTTGAGAAGATCACTATAAAATGGCCCCAAATTGCTGCATTTTTCAGATTAGAAATTAATTTTGGATTCATTTCGATTGCTTTTAATTTGTTTGTTTTTAGTCTTTCAAAAAAAAAAAGTTCGGAAAATAAACTTAACTGTGCAGACAAAAACGAAAATATTTGTTTTTTCCTAGTAAATAATAAATTCATATTTTGTACTAAATAAAATAGGGGGGGAATAGAAAAATAAACTGGTTTAATGGGAAAAAAGATCCAATAAAACTTAATAATTTTTATCAAGACATACAATTATTATTATTATTATTATTATTATTATTATTATTATTATTATTATTATTATTATTATTATTATTGTGCCAAAAGGCCACATAATTATTAATAAGATTCTTGTTTACCTTTCTCGTCGTGCGTGGGAGTGGCCGTGGTGGGGATATCGAACCACTGGGCCAGGGTGTTGGAGTACCACACGCTGAGCTCCTCTCCCGCCGGGATTTCTCTCAGCGCGCGGTAGAAAATCTTTAAAATGATAATTCAGTGAATAAAAGACCAAGTTGTGGTGTTTGAAGAAGAACGCAGGCAAAGCTTCCTGAGATGCTGAGGGAGACTCACCTGTCCTCCAGGTAGGTCCGACACCGCCTCCAGGTTCTGCTCCTGGCTGCTCCTCGCGGCGCGGATGAACCCGATCCAGTCCGGCACGGGACAGCCGGACTCGTCCACAAACTCCCCGCGGATCAGGCGGATCTGAAACAAGACGAGACCTTAATGTTGAGCCCAACGTGAGATTTTTCCCTCCTATAAATCCACGAACCTTCAAAATCATCTAAAAGACACTTTTTTCGTTCTGTTCCATTTTTTTAAGAGATCTGAGCCGCAGTCTGACCTGAGTGTCAGCAGGAGGACGTGGAGGTGTTTGTCACCAAAGCGCACTTAATGCGTCTTTATCCGCTCTGCTGAGGATCTCCTGAAATAACACACGCGCGCGCGCACACACACACACACTGTGCCACGCGGGGCCTAATTGACTTGATATGGGAAACGAATTTGAGGAGTGTCAGAGCGTTTCTAAACTGTTCGAGGACATTAAGGACGGAAGCGTGACATTTGACACGGAGATTGCACCTGATGATCCCCCCTCCACACACACGCACACACACACACGCACACACACCCCTGCAGCCCTGGAGGGCACGCATTTAGACGCATCAATCACGAGCTGTTGACAGCTTCAACCAAAAATCAGCGCTTCACAGTGAAAGAGTTAGAAATTCCTTAAGTTGTGTTTTTAATTCCTCGCGCGCTGGAGCTGCATCCAAACAACCACTATGATTTATTTGTTTGTTTGTTTGTTTGTTAATATTTTCCTCGTGGCCACTGGATGAAGCCCCCCCCCCCGGACTTCGGAAGCATCTGATGGGCTTGTGGGGCCAGCGGCCCCGTCGGTCCCGCATGGAGCCCCGCAGCCCATCATGCGGGACGAGGAGCATCTCGCTGACAGGCCAAAGAGCTGAATAAACCCAGGCCCAGAGGGTGTGACAGGCAGGGGGACACGGTCCAATTTAACTTGTGGTCCTCCAAAAATATGTGCTAAATATTTTTATTTTAAAAATAAATAAAAGTAGAGATGTTCCAAACAGAAAAAAAAAAAATAATAATAATAATTCTCAAGACGGGAAAAGGTTTTTTTTTTTTTTCCTACTTAAATGTGTGGGACTTACTTTTTTCTTTGGCCCAGTTTCCTTCCGGTCCGACACGTACTTCCCCAGTTTGCATAGGCCCGGTACCGGTCCGATCCGGAGCCCGGCCGGGATGCTGCAGTCTGCGAACACGCTGACCGTGGAGGTGGTGGGCGCCCGGGTGGCTTGCATGGCGCGGGGGGAGATCAGAACCATGAAGACCCAAATGGGGACGAGAGGAAGAGAGAGAGCGCGCGCCGGGAAGAGGAGGAGGAGGATGAGGAGGATGAGGAGAGGCCGATATCCGTCCTCAGAGTGACGCGGTGGCGTTTTGCTCTCCGGCTTTTCTAGTGATGGAGCAGGGTGAGGTGCCCCCCACCCCCTCTCTCTCTCACACACACACACACCCGACCTCTCTATTTGAGGATGCAAGTGTGTGCGTGAAGAAGGGAGGGTGCTGCAGAGAGGTGATGCTGGTTTACGGGGGGAGGAGGAGGGAGCGGTCCTGAGTTTGCAACAGCACTAGGTGTGTGTTCCTGTGTGTGTTCGTGTGTGTGTTCGTGTGTGTGTGCGTGTGAGTGTGAGAGAGTTGGGCTCTCCCAGCAGCTGTGTGCGGAGGGGAACCGGGCCGGTTCGCTCACACGGACTCGGCCGCATAAAGAGCTTCTCCAGCACGTTCAGGAGACACAAAGAGCCCCCGCGACCTTCCCATCCCAGAAATCCAATTTGTCAAGGCCGGAGAAAGGAGCGCGCGCTATCAAAGGTCCGGAGCGGCCATTAATCCTCAGCATGAGGCTTTGTCCCCACGACAGGTCCGATATTTGAAGTGACAAATCCACGGAATAATTCCTCCATAAATCCTCACCCCGCGCCTTTCTTTCCTTTCACTGGCCTTTTTGGGGGGCGGGGGGAGGGGGGTGGGGGGGAATCGGTGGCTACTTTAAATCTACTTGGCTGCCATTCTTAGGGCTCCTCGTGCATCAAAGGGCCCCGCTGCCCCCCCAGCCCCCCCTCTTCAGTCCCCGCTTCAACAAAAGGCGCAGCCAAGTTTCGAGGACTTGTTAACTTCTATTGAGTCCCGGCGTGTGCCGGGCCGGGCCGGGCAGGTACCGACAGGACAGGACCAGCAGCAGGAGGAGAGAGGACAACACCATCAGCATCTTCACGAGGCGCGCGCACACGCACGCACGCACACACACAAACGGTTTTCTCTCCGTGCTGCGTTCACGGAGGTTTGCTCTGAAAACACAACCTGGCTCAAAATATGGAGAAATAATATAAATTATAAATGTTTTTTTTTTCCTTTAAAAATTTTTATTTAAATAATGAGCGATGAAAAGTGACAGGCAAAATAATAATAATAATATTAATAATAATAATAATAATAATAATAATAATAATATTTACGCTTGGAGTTTTTATTTATAAAATAAAATAACATTTAATGTAATTTAATTAAATAAAATTTTATAAAAATAAATTAAATTAAATTAAATTAAATAACACCGCTCCAGGATCAGTGTAATCTCAGATGTTGTTTGTTCAGGATTTAATCCAGATTAATTGTTTGAATGATCGATCAGTTTTAGCCGCGTTGTGGAATCCATTATTATGTCACGAGCATTTTTTTATAAGCAACTATTGAAACTCTGCAGTTACTGTAAGAAGCGTACTTTTCTGTTGTAGCATGCTCAGTGATTAATTTATTTGGTATTCATTTGCATATTTTATTCTTAATTAAACTAATGATGCAAACACCGTCGATTAAAATGATATAAAATCATAAATAATGAAACTGTCTTCATGGGCTGGAGGTCTTGGACCTTCACCTCCCGGTGCGTTCAAAAGATGTGCGGGATTCAAGTCAGTGTCCGCACAGAGGATGGACAACAACCTGTGGGCGCGAGGACCTCAGACCGTGACCGAAGTGACCTCTGACCTTTCCACTTTGCCCTCTGAGTCACGTGTCTCGTGGCTGCTGCAACAATAATGTGCCCAAACATCATTCTGTCAGGATGAACGCGCTGGTTCTTATTTTATGGAGGGGAAAGGGAGTTCTCTAAACATCCAAAGAGTTCAGGCGCTCCTCTAAGCCCCCCACCCGCGTCAAACACCCTCCCCCTGCCCTCTCCTCAGTCTCTTCCTCCGAAGGACACGCGAGTCAAAAGGCGCAATGTTTGCGCCATCCCCGTCCCGCGCTGCAGCTGCATGCGCTCTCTCTGCGCAATGAGTTATTCCTTTGGTTTGGAAAGAATGTATGCTGTTACTTAAAGATCTAAAGATAAAATAAAATAAACGAAATTAGTTTCCTTGCTTGGGCAATAATGTGAAATCATAGAAGAGCATGCGTCTCTTTAAAGAGATTAACGGCGCTAAAGACAAAATCATCCAGTTAGAAACTGAATGTTTCTCAGATCGAAGGTTAAGATGTCCCTAAATAAATAAAAAATATCAGCAGAATTTGTGAACAGGTGCCAACAAAATGTGTTTGTTTACAAGGTTCAAGGTTTTTATTGTCATTCGCATCACACGTGGTACATGAGGTGGGATGAAATTGTGTACTCAAGGTCCTATACACCCAAAAAATAGCAAAAACATCAAATTTGAAAAAGAAACAGTATATAAGGATCTAATATTCTAAACTATAATTATGTAATATAATACCGTATATTAAACAGCAGCCTGAACATTAGTCTGTTGTGTCGACAAGTGTGACGTCATGGAAGAGCCTTTTTGAATGGAGCCAGTTTTGATGCTGATGACGTAAAGTGTGCAGATAAAAAGGTTTGAAATGGCAACACTAGAAAAAGTTTGGTGTTTGAATGTCGAGCTCAGTCTTCATCATTCACCCCTGATGTTTGTTTTCAACTGTTTTATTTCTCATTCTTTCTCTTTTCTTTTTAGAATTAGCAAAACATCTCCCAGATTATACACAATATCTGTTTTCACCGCACAGACTAGGACCCGTCTAATGTCCGGTGACTCAAGCTTCCACGTGGCTTTTAGAGGATTCAGCTTTTGTTTACGTTGAGCGCGTACCTGCATTTCATTGAAGATCCTTAAATCTGCATCATTTCATGTAATTCAAGATACACTATTTATTTCGGATGTTATCGATTGCAGCGAGTACATTTTATGAATAGAAAAAATAAGAATTTAAAATACGTTCATCACATTGTTTGAATCTTCATCCTGGAACAACATAAAGTGTGAGTCTCTTTGATGAACTTTAAAAAGCAGAGGAGTTTGGGAGCTGGAGTGTTTTTATGGGGAGCTCTATAGAGAGAGGGGGAGTGATGGGGGGGGGGGGGTTAACAGTCACTGATTTAACTGGTTGGTCATTAATGAGCCATGAATATAGAGGAGCAACCTGCCTGCAGAGCAACGTGGTAAATCCAGAGAGCAATGCCCCACCAGGGATCTCCATTCACTGCTTCTTGACTGGGCTTTCCCTTCACGGGGGGGTCTGACGGCTCACCACCACCACCACCACCACCTCTCTTGGTTTGAATTCAAAAGGCCGACCATTCGAGCCCTCTCTGTGCTCAGAGGAAAACACATTTTTTATGTCGAGCCATAAAAAAACAACTTTCTCTGGGTCTATTCAGCAGGATCATTGTTTCAGTCTGCAGCGTGGCCCGTTTCTCACACATTCCCACGTTGCAGAAATTACTTTTTGTTTTGGTCTAAATTTATTTATTGACCTTCAAGCAAGTCCAAGTGAAAATAAAAGAAAAGCCAAATATTACAGCTTTTACTCCTTGTCCCTGAAACAGTGATCTTATTATTCCCTGCAGGTCAGAGGGAAAAGAAACGTCTTTTAATCTGTTGCTGAGCTCTGAATCAGTCTTTGTTTTCCTGTTTCTTGTTGTCCGTACCGACTGAACTTCGGCTTACTTTTAACTGTTTTAGCTGTTTGTACATCAAAACGTTCAGCTCTGTCAGGATTAGTGTTTTTTGTAACTTTGATTCTTTTCAGTACTCATAAATCTGCTCCAGGAAACATGGCTCTGTGTATGTCTTGTTATTCTACTTTTAGCATTTAGCTGTTTTTGTGTCTCAGCTATAGCCTTTACTTTTAGCTTTTAGGTACCATTTTGTATTTGTTAGCATTTTGCTACTATTAGCATTCAGCCATGTTTTGCCACTCTGAGTTGTTAGCTTCCATTTTTAATACTTTGGGTTAACATTTTAAATTTTAGTTTTAATCAAGCATTTTGAAAGTTTTATTTATTTATTTGTTTTGCTTTTAGTTGGTCTTTTGGTTTTAGCTTTGACTAATTTCTTGCTACAGTTTAGCTACCCTATAATTACTTTTCATTTTTGGATAGCTTTTAAGCTAGCCTTACTTTTAACCTGTTGCTGCTTTTCATTTTTAGCTAGGTTTTTGCTGCATTATTTGTTAGCTACATTTTAGCTGATTATGGCCAGCATTTCCAAGCTGAATTTTTTCTACATAAATTTTAAAGGGGCCTGCCTCTCTGACTCTTTTTGCCCTTGTCTTGAATCAGCACGGCTCAGGAAACATTTTGAGAATGTTCTCAGCTAACACACAAAGCTTTAGCTGTCTAAAAATGACCAGCCGTTTTCTATTACAGTAAATAGTTCAGTGATTCATGAGGTATTTTACTAACAGCCAATGTCACCTGTCATTTATGGCAATAATTAAACTTTGAACTCAAAGCATTTTTAGCAGTCACATATGTCAGAGGGGTCAAAGACAGCAACCACTGCAGTTCATGTTCTCTTAAAATAAATGAGTTGTAGCCATTTTTATTTTTCCAATTCAGCTTCGGTGGCCATTTAGAATCTGATGGACCCAAAATACTAATCCGTCATGAAAGGCTGTCAAATGAACACTTTGTAAGAGTTTTAATCATTTTCATTCAATGGTTCATGACATGTTTCAAATACTTTCAGTGTTGAATGTAAAGAAATTCCAATTTGTCCTTTGGTGAATTACAATAAAAGTTATGGATTAGATATTGTATTAGATGAACCCCGTCATCCACTTTTAAAACGTTTGTATTCCTTGGCTTTCGGCACAGCCTGAGACTTGATCTGGTTTATTTTACTTCTGTTTTTATTATTTTTAATTCAGTTCAATTCAATTTATTTATATAGCGCCAAGTCACAACAGAAGTAGTCTCAGGACACTGAACAGAAACATTCATATACATAAAAAGTAAGTTACTAACATTATTTATCTGAGGAGCAGACTGCTTTGAGTCTAACTTCATCACAGAACTCTCATTCTGAGCAAGCATAAAGGCAACAGTGGAAAGAAAATATGTTTTTAACTCCCTTTTACATATCTTATTGTTGTATGAACTATTTTTATTCCTTTAAATGTTCCTAATCCTACGCATAAAGCACTCCTGTTGCAGCTGTGCTTGTACGTTAGGCCTATAAATAAAGTAGGCAGCATTTTGCTTGTATAGGTTTTCTTGCACAATTTTCAGATCCACTCAGCATTCACCCTGAGTCTTCACAGACAATGCCATCTCCTTCCTTTTGATTGACTTTTCCTTTTGTAAACTCTCCATATTTAAGGTGCTCGGCTGTTTTTCTGTGGGGGGAACCTGCGGGAAAGGCGCAAGCTGCGTGCAGAGCAGACCAGCTGCCCGGGTGCGGGTGGGACATTAGCGACTCGTTTGAATAGTAATGATGCTTGTATGGGACTCCCACCAGATGACATGATTGGGATTTTAGGCCAGACTAATATTCAAAATCGCATTAGAGAGTGGCCGAGTAAACGGCACCTGATTCAACGCTGTTCATGCGTGATTTCATTCAAAGTGCCCTCTTTCTTTCTCTCCTCCCCACCCCTCTCCAAAGTGGGCCGCACCGCTTTCAGAGTTTTATCCCCTCTTCTTCTCCACTTGAACCGGCCTCCTCTCGCATGAAGGGACGCGGATAAAGGCGTGCCAAGTTGTGTGAATTGATATGTTTCGGTGTACCTTATAAATTCATACCTTTTCTCACTCGAGCGGCTCAGAAAGCGAGTGTCAGTCAGGCTGTCCGGCGCATTTAGCAGCAGATCTATGCGAGGAGTTCATTATAGGCAAATGTATGCAGGCATGGCTGCGCGTCAAAGGAGCGGCGTGTCAGCCGACCCTAATTGGGCTTTAGCCACCCCAAAGCATGAGCAGAAAGTGGCGCAAAGGGGCGGCTTTCAAAGAAAAGTCTCAACTTTTGCCCCTCTTGGAGACTGTTCCAACCCGGCGTGGTATTTTCTCACAGGTTGCTGACCCAGCAGGCTGCACTGGTTGTTCCTGCAGCCCAACACAACTGTGATGGCAAAGAGCAAGCTTCCAGACATGCAGCTTTGACTTCCAACCTGCTGGGTGTGGATGAGATGCTTATCGCCCGCCATGGAAGGCGACAGGCAGGCAATGTTGTTCATAACGTGTTCATTTGTCTGTCTGTTAGCAAAATATATCATGAACCACTGGATATATTTTAGTTAAACTTGCACATCATTTACATTTACTTTTGGATTTGACCCGATTTAAGATGGCCGCCACCGCTAACTGTCTTTATCAAACACAACAATGATTATAACTTCAACAGTTTTACAGATATGGAGCTAAAGTTTGGGGTGGTCGCAGCTGAGAGTCATTCACAACGCATACTCCGAGCTCTATCACATCACACAATTGTTTAAACTTTTCCCATTAGCTGTCTGTTAGCAAAATTTCTTCTAAACCACTGATCTGATTTTGATTAAACTCTCAGAAAGTCACTGGATGTAAATCTAAAACTGATTAACTTTTGAAGTAAGCACAATTCTGTCACAACCGACTCGTCTTTGTTGGTGAATTTACTGATCCTGAACTGAAGCTTTTGTGTGGTAGAAGCTAAAAGTTAAAGAAAGCTACTCTGAGCGCTAACTGGTTGCATTAGATATATAGTTATATTTTATAGCAGTTATTTTCAGGATTGAGTCAAACATTCATTTCTCATCATCTCAGTTTAAAGCACCGACATGAAAGGCGGTGGATAAAAAAAACATTCCTTCAAGGACTGCTAAGCTTTTGTTCAGGACAATTTCATAAAAGATATATACAAGATTGGAACTGGGCATATATTATACAAATATATATTCCTATAAGAAATGCCCATTTAAATATTTTTTTCTGCCTTTTTTAAACAGGTAAAAATGTCTCAATTAGTTATGACTCATACAGATTTCCAACTATTCATAAATATTGACAGTTTCCACACAGTGTCTTTAAAAGCACCACAGTGAGCTCTCCGTTCCTCCCTCCTGTGCCTTGTTAATGATGTACATAACTTCATATTCAATCATTTCCATAAAAGTGGCATTAGGCTCCATACAGACAGTGAGATCAGGGCCTCCTTCAGGTTGGCTGCACATTAATAACTGGCTGATCTAATGGCCTGCCTGCACGGGCCGAGGCTCCTCATTATGTCTGTGGCCTCAAACTAATTGTCTCCTCAGAGTTCGGCTGAGATCAGCTTGTGGAAATGATGTCCGAGAGATATATTGATTTCTATGAAGTCTCTTCCTGGTCATCTTACAAATTATTTACATGATAGTGATGCTGGTTTACAGTCAAGCTGAAAATAAAGATCCAACAATGTTGCTTTTTTTTTTTTTGTGCGTGTGTAATCAATTTTAATTTTTCCATTCCCTCCATAATAAATGCTTTTCTTAAGAAGAATTAGATAGTCATAAATGCCACTAATTGTATTTTTGCAGCTTTAGTTTCTATTTAAATAATAATAAATAATGAGTAAAAATCAATGGGTTAAGAACTGACTTTTTAAATTTATCAAATGTGAGTTCAACAAGGTTTTATATTTGGCCCTCTGGTTTTTGCTTGTATGTTGTGGATTTACCTGAAAGTTGATGTTTAATACTAAATGTATGCAGATTATGTTAAAATACATGTAACTTCACAAATAAATAAAAACCATAGAGGCTGCAGAGTGACAGTGGGAGTGTTACAGAAGGAAGAAGACTCTTTAAAACTCTGAATTGGACCAAAACTGTCCAAGAGTGTTTAGAATCAAGCAGAAATGTGTAATTATTTCAATTCTGTTGCTGTTCAGTGACAAATAAAATTTAGACAGTCACATATTTGGGTGAAATTTTAAAGTCCTATCTTAAAATGAAAGTTCATTTCAGGAAAGTGTGCAGACCCATTAAACCTCATTGGTTTTCGTCACATAAGATCTTGTTTGTAAGGCTGCTGGGATGGATCAGCTTGCTTGGCTCTACCACATATTTCCTAATGTGAAACTACAAATAAGCACTGAAACTTGGCAAAAACCATTGAAGTGAATACATTATTGAAGAAAAAAATAATAATTTACAATGTTATTAAGTTTTGTTAGTTCCATACATTTTGCTTTTATAAAATAGATTTTAAATGGGATAAGGCTGTGTTTCAGTGGAGGTAAAAAGAGATTTAAAAGGCATCATTAAGGAGCTCAGTGAAGGGAGAGTTGGATTTAAATCATCATTGACACAATATTTCTTCTCATTTAGAAATCCTTTGATTTGAAAGATTTTTCAAACAATAAAACTGCAAACTACATTCTGATGTTTTTAGTTTTAATTTTGTTTTTGAAACTGTATTCTTGTGTTTTCCTATCCAGTTTTGTATTAAGGATTTGTGTGTGTGTGTGTGTGTGTGTGTGTGTGTGTGTGTGTGTGTGTGTACTGTTTTACACTAGATGTAGTTTTTGGTGTAGGTTGCATTAGATGTTTTAGAGATTTTATTTTTAATTAAAAAAAAAAAGCCCATTAGGTTTGCGAAATGGCTTTTTGCAAGAAGTGATTGCATTGTTTAAAACGTCTAACAAATTTTTGTTTGTTCTGGTCCCAAATATTTTCTAAAGAGAATAAATGCACTTTACTTATTCAAATATCTACTAAAAATAATGCTTGTTGGGCAAAAAACATTAAAGTAAAAACAAAAACCTCAGCCAAATGGTAACCTCTAGAATAGTTGTATTTACCTGTAATGTGATTTTTGCTTTTGAAGGTTTTGTTTGTTTCGACTGTCTATTTATGTGAACACAAATAACAGAAGTGGTCCTGCTCTTTAAGTCTGGTGCGTTGCATTTCTCCACTCTGCCTCTCAACAGGACACTAAGTGTGTTTGGCATCTGCCGGCCAGATCTGATCTCTCTCGATCAGCAGCAGGAGAAGAAGGTGTGGATGTGGATGGAATGGGGACAGGAAGCGGCTGTAAGCCGTCATTCTGTTGCAGGACTGAGTTTTGACTGACTGACTCCTCAGCCCTCCAGAATGTGTCAGGGTGAACGTGTCCACCCCCAGGTGTCTCTGGCTCTGTCGCTCTGTTCGCCTACTCACAACTTCCTCACTTCACTTTTCATCAGGCTACAGAGACGTCTCTATCTGCCGAACAAAATTGTACTTTTCTCACTATGAACACAGCACTCCAACACATTCTTTGTCCTGGATCAAATAAAACAAAGACAAGGTAATTGAATGCTGATAGCTTTATTTACGGCAGTTGGAAAAGGGGGAGTATAAGGCACACAAAGGTTATGAGAGCATGGTGAGTGTTTTTTGACATCATTAAACCTTATGATTTGAAGGATTCAGTCTGTAGCAAATGGCCATTCATGGTCTTCTTGTCCAGGCCAAAGGCCAAAGGTCAGTGGCCAGACACGGGACTTGGTCAGTGCAAAGCTCTAAGGGGCGTGAAAGTTTAAAGACGAGGGGTCACCAGGGAATTTGTTATTCATTCGACATCAGAGTCATCTGCAGCACCAGAGATGGTGTAGGTCTGTTCTTGGTGGTCCATCTCCAGCACATCATCCTCGGTTTTCACCGTTCTGTTGAGGCAGAAGAAAAATGAGAGAGCTTATTTGACCAAAAGAAGTAATCTTACTGCTATTGCAGAGTAGTTAGTGCAGTTAAATCCTTTAAGACCTGAGACAGCCTCTAAACACGCTCAGATGTTGCATCAGGTCATAATGGATTCACTTGGTGCTTCTTAATCAAAGCCAGGTTTGAATATTTATTTTTCTAATTTTGACCTGGGAAATTAAAATATACCCTTACTAAGATCTTTGGAAAGATACCCAATGGTACCTTTACCTAATGAGCACTGTCCTTCTCTCCGTCAGCTCCACAGCCTGCTCTGCATAGGCCTCAGTGATGCCATCAAATCGATCCGATCCATTTCCAATCTGGGCACCACTCATGTCACCGTTCCCTCTGCTAATCCTACTCATTCCACCACAGACAGACTGAGCAACTCCTCCATCATCTCCACCCTTACTCTCATATCCTGCACTGTCTCTGATTCCACCCTTCATAACTGTAGGACCATGTCCTTGGGCTTTACTTCCATTTTTACCCAATATTCCTCCAACCCCGAAGCTCTTGCCTCCACCCACAACCCCATTTCCTCTACCAAATCCATTTCCCATATCACTCATACCACCTGGTAAGTCTGTGGTATCACCACCTGCCCCCAGCCCAACTCCACCTACACTGCTTTCACTTAACCTTCCAGAGCTGAGTCCTGCGCCCTCAACCACAGTGTCCAAACCTCTAATGTCAGAACTCAAACCCCCAACCCCAGAGTCTAAACCTTCTGGACCAACACCTAAAACTCCAGAACCCATGCCCACACCACCAGTACCTACTCCTCCAATACCAATACCAGGACCAGCCATTTCAGAACCTAAACCACTAGCTGCAACATCAGACATTCCTCTGGCATCTGCTCCTCCAATGTCAGTACCAGAACCAGTGGTTCCAGACCCTAAACCACCAGCTCCAGCACCAGTCATTGCTCTGACACCTACTCCCCCAATGCCAGGACCAGAACTAGTGCTTCCTGAACTCAAATCACCAGTCCCAACTCCTCCAGTGCCAATACCAGAACCAGTGCTTCCAGACCCTAAAATGCTGTCTCCAATACCAGTCATTGCTCCGACACCAACTCCTTCAATACCAGAACTAGGACCAGTGCTTCCAAAACCTAAACCACTTCCACCTACTCCTCCAATGCTGGTACCAGGACCAGAGCTTTGAGATTCCAAACCACCCATGTCAACACCACTCAATCCTCCAACACTGACTCCTCCAATGCTGGTATCAGTGCCCACACCCTTAGCATTTGTTCTGACATCTAACCCTCTGGCTCCTACCACTTGACTGCCAGTAATGCCTGCTACACCTCCCCTATCATTTGGACCTTTACTGTTGTCAGTATCTCTAGCACCTATCCTTTCAGTTAGACCTCCAGTACCAGGACTGGATCCAGTGCCTCCTGTAACTATGTCCCCACTCATTCCTACACCACTGACCATACCTGCAACTCCTCTACTATCTCCCATCAGTCCACCACCCCTTCCACCCACAGCATCCATGCTTCCTCCACTGAGGCTCACCCCAGCACTAATGGCGCTCATGCTACAGCTGGTAAGGGATAGGGATTGCATCATGCCAGACAGTCGCAGGTCTTCCCCCTCAATCAATTTTCTGCAAAGAGAGACAAAAGTCTTAGTGTTTCATTATAATGTATTCAAACACACAGTGATAACTCAACTTCTGGTTGTTTTTCATGTACCTGTAAGTAGTTATCTCTATCTCCAGAGCCATCTTGATATTCAGAAGTTCCTGGTACTTGCGCAGGTGCAGTGCAATTTTCTCCTTGGTGGATTTCAGCTCAAGCTGCAGGGCCTCAATTCGAGCCTATTAAGTCGTGAAATAGATGTGCTGTTGAGCGGCATTGTGTCTGCACTTGTGAAAGTGAGAGTAGTGTGTTCATGCAGTGTCTTTGGTAGGATCAGGTGTTCACCCTGCGACAGACAACATTTACCTGCAGGTCTTCCAGTTCCTTCTTGTATTTTTTTTCCCGCTCTCGAATCCGAGCTTCAAGAGCTTCATTTCTGGTCCTCAGAGAGTCCAAGTCACGCTCTTTACTTTGAATCTGGAGGTATTTTCACATAATTATATGCATTTAGTGCTATCATTTTTTAATTTGTTTATACATTTAAGCTTTAATACTCACGTCTTTTTTGGCATTTGCTATTTCTTCTCTAACACTTCGAACTTTATCGACATGCCTGGATGACTTTTGGGTTAGATCTTCAAACTTGTTTTTATACCACAAATCCATTTCCTAACAAGGAAATCAATATTATCATACACTTCATTGTAACAAACAGAAAATTTGACTCTTATTTTTTTGCGTTTGCCCAACCTGAATATTTTTGGCCGCAATGTCGTCGTACTGGGTCTGGATTTGTTTCAAAGCACCAGCCAGGTCTGGCAACGTGAAGGCACTTTGAGCAGAGACATGAGCTGAATAGATCTGTTTCAGCAACTCGTCAATTTCCTAAATAAAAGTGAGACATATGAGAACCACACAAGCAAAAAGAAACCTGATTTTTTTTTTCCAGCACAAACATGCTGCCCTACCTGCTGATGAAGTCGTTTCAAAAATTCTATTTCAACTTCAAGCTGCTCCAGCTTTTTCTCCAAGGCAAAGCGAGAGGAAGTAGCTTTGTCGACATCCTGAGGAGCACACAGCATCATCGATCTGCGTCTTTTTGTCTGGTTGTAAAATTGTCTTCACGTTTAGAGAACGTTGGAAGATAAGTGATACCCACCGGGCGGAAGGCTTCGATTTCTAACTCAGCCTTCTTCCTCAGCTCCACTGCCTCCTCGTATTTGATTTTGATTGCCTCTAGTTGAGCAGCTGCAGTCTCTTTAGCAGCCAAAGAAATGTCCTACAAACCAAGTAACCAGAAGTAATTTCTTTGTCTGTCAGATCTGAAGGTGAGCGCAAAAAAAAGAACATCAGCTGTTTCTGCACTGATTTGTGTGTGCACAATAGTGTGTATCTGTGTGCCTGCAAATGCATAATCAAACCATCTCATCTGTGCACGAAACAAAGCTGATGGCAGCTGTACACTGAAACACCTAAAGCTACGGAGGCGTCTCTCCATTTGCCTGCCAGAAATAGGCCTGTTACCAGGTAAAAATAAACCTTGAAAACACCAAGTTGATGTCTTGTGTTGTCGCTTGAGTACAAACAAACCAGTGAGGTGTAAAACACCATGCCTGAAAAAAACACCGGAGGAGTGCAGTTTGTAAAATTTGGCCTCACCCGCTGAACTTTCATCTGGTCGGCAATCCTTTTCAGCTCCTTTAGCTGCTCCTCGTACAACAAACGAAGACCCGTTGGCTTCTCGAACCGGCCTTGGTAGGCCTCGATCTCTGCCTCCAGCAACTTATTCTTCTGCTCAAGTGATCGAACCTGTAGCGACAGAAAAACTCCCTCTTTACAGCCTTTAGAGACACGAAGTTAGTTTAAATATAAGAGAAGCTGTTTCAGGCTGTTGCTGCGGTCATTTCTTACAGTTCTGACAGTGATTTACCTTATCAATGTAAACAGCCAGTCTGTCGTTGAGGACAATCATCTCCTGTCTCTCGCTGGTGCGGGTGCTCAGGAACTCCTGGCTCTCGGCTGCAGCAGCATCCAGGTCCATGGGGCGCTCTCCACTTGGACCAACACATACCAAGGCTCCTGCACTGGCACTGAAAACAAAAAGTGATTTATATCAATGGTAACAATTAAACAAGAACTGACAGGAACCAGGAGGAAAAAGGCTCCAAAATGACTTAAAGGAACGTTCCGTCCATCGTAGTGTTCTCCGAGGCTTACCCAAATCCAGCTGTGCGAGACCTGCGTGCTGCAGAAGCAGTCCTTCGTCCCACCGAGTCCACACGCATGCTGCTGGACCCAGACCTGGCAGAGTAGCCGGCTGAGGCATGGCAAGCCTGTCTCCTGGTCGGAGACGGGCTGGACACCCTGACCTGGTAGGTTGAGCTGCTGTTGTCCTCAAAGTGACGGCGATAAGATGAAATCCTCTCTGGGCTGCGACTCATTGCTCCTGTTCGTTTGGGCGTCTGAAGGGAAACGTTCAGGCTGGACCTGTCTGTTGTTCACTGTGTGGGATGTCCTCACCACTGTCCCTGCTGTCCAGCCCAGTTTCACTTTTTATACTCCTCAGTGCCAGTCGTGCTTCTGCTCTCTGCAAGACCGCCCATGAGCCAACACCTGTGGAATCTCTAACCTCAGCAGCAAAGCGGGCTGCTCGGGCATTTATCAGCAGCTTGTGAGGAAGAGAGCAGGGCTGGGCGATGAGCTCGCAGCATCATTGTTCCCTCAGAATCCTGACATTCATCACACTGTCTGCAAAAAGACTTTTCAGCATGGCTTCCTGTGCACACGCATTATGTCAGCGTCCAACAGCCGAAAGACAAACAGACGTCCAGGCAGGCAGGACACGGTCAGCCGCTGCTGCCAGTAGGTGCAGCTCTGATGTGATCTGCTCTGATGGGAGGAGGGACATAACTGAACGCTGAGCAGAAGCTGGAGGGTGACCTGATAAGGCTGAGGAGAAGCCCTGGCAAGATCTGACATAAATTAGTACTTATTAGTCTGGTCCGTTTTCAACTAATTAAAACTGGACTGTGGAGGAAAACGGCATCGGAATGAATTGCTTTAGGAAAGAAAAGAACATGAAACAAGGATTATTGTCTGGAGTTTATGGATGACAGGACAGAGTAATAAGTGAACACATAATGATGAAAATGACTCTATCTACAAGGTCACTGGGTCAGAGAGCAGAGAGGCTGCACTTCATCATAAATACCAACTAGTTCCTGTTTCTTTTACGACTAAACCCATTTATATAAACAGTATATATATATATATATATATATATATATATATATATATATATATATATCCATTATCTTTTACCCGCTTCTTCCATTCTGGGTCACAGGGGTCGCCGGTGCCCATGTCCAGCTGTCACTGTGCGAGGTCCAACCTGGACAGGTCTCCAGTCCATCACAGAGACACATGGAGACAAACGAGACAAACAACCATTCACTCTCTCCCTCACACCTAGAGACAATTTAGAGTTACCAATCAGACTAACATGCATGTTTTTGGTCTGTGGGAGGAAACTGGAGTACCTGGAGAAAACTCACGCATCCACGGAGAGAACATCCAAACTCCACCCAGAAAGGCCCCCAGACCGGGATTTGAACCGGGGACCTGCTCGCTTGTACAAAAAACATATCGTTTTCTGAATAAAATGATAATAAATATACATCAATGTTTCATTTTAAAATTTCAAAGGATGCATCCATCCATCATCCATTCATCATTCATCCATCATTCATCCATCCATCCATTCATTCATCATCCATCCATCATCCAACATCCATCCATCCATCCATCCATCTATCCATCCATCATGTCTTATTGTTAAAACACCTTGCACCATGAGTGAAGTTGTGCGTAACTGATCTTTGCTGACACCATCTTATTGTTGTTATGAGATTTTATTTTATTTGTTTCTATTTTAAATTTGGAATGATAGAATAAATGTATAGGCATTATTTAAAACTATAAACATGGTTTAAACAACATGTGAATGTCCATATTTGAAATGATGAAATGTAAAACAACATGTTCAAATAACTGTTTACGTTAAAACTTGTTTTGTCAAAGAGAAGTCTAAACTTATAGTATATCTAAATTATAAAAAAATCAAAATTCTATCTAAATTATTAAAAACTTAGCAAAATTCCAGTAATTCAAACTAATAAAGTATATTTTTATGTGAATATCCTTTAAAATATCTATAAAAATCACGTTCTAGATTTCATAAATGAAAACACAATTATTTATTTATTTATTTGGGTGCTGGCAACCTGTCTGAGTATTGTAATAATCACAGACCTGCCAAGCAGTTTAAATGTGAGTGTGAAGGGAGTATTTCCTCACTGTGAGGAAAATACTGCGTAACATCATCAGAAATAGTATCGATACTCTGAGCCAGATTATTTACTCGTGTGTCTGTAAAGTCACATTGAGGCCAGTTTCCCTTCGCTGCCATAGTGAGTCAGAATCAACAAGCTGCCTCCAAGATTTTGGGATCAACACGAGCAGGAAGAATCTGGACCAGAGGGAACTATTTCTCTTTGGACTTTCAGCTGAAGATGTAAAAGTTGAAGTTGAACCTAAAGTTTTTCATAAGTTTCAGGATCATCGTTCTGATTCTTCAGCTAGTTCAGCACATTCGTTATGGTGGAGCATGAAGGAAGCTGTTAATGAGTCCTGGAGGGTTGGTGGCAAATTCATCCTGAACACACTCAGCTGCTATTCCCCGACTCTTCAACAGTAGATCATGTCAGGGCCCTGCAGCTGTCACCTCAAGCAGCTTCCCGCTGCCTGTTTACACGGTGATTCACCCCCTTTGGATTCTTGCCTTTAACGGTTAAAAAGTTCAGCATTACTCCAATCTGACAATAGTACCTCTTTAATGTTGGGATTCAATGTATTGTCATCACCCACTGCTGAAAAGTGGGCGATGATTTTATTATTTTTTTGCCTATGTTTGTGTGCCTGCTTGTCTGTTAGCAAAATATCTCATGAACCACTTGACATTTTAGTGAAAGCTGCAGGAAGTGATCACTGGAGATATTTCTACAACCAGTTACCTTTTGGAGTAAACCCTATTTAAGTTGGCCGCCATAGACCAGGAGTTCTCAAACTTTTTGTGTCCAGGGACCCGTTACTGGGGAGAAAAAGTTTCAGGGACCCCCTCATCACCTCATGTTTATTAAATAATTTTCTTCACTTTGTCTCTTTAATTGCAATAGAAATACCTAAACCTGTTCTTTAATAGTGTTAAAACAATTTTTATTTTTTTTAAACATGGACTATTTTTCATTCAAGACACACTTTTTAACAAAAAAAAAAATTATTTCAAATTCCAAAAATTGGTTTTGAGAAAATTAACAGCATCAAAAACCACTTTAAAACTTTACCTATTCACTTAATGAACACAAATGTATCACCACTTCATCTAATTAGAAAACTCTTTACATGAATCTGAACAGAATCAGAAGAGCAGTAGTTATACACAGTAACAGGACTTCATTTGTAAACCGATCGATGCCGGGATGCAAACAGTGTGCGAGCCGGTGGGGTGGTGCGGGGGAGTCCTCCCCCAGAAATTTTTGAATAAAGTAGACGTGATTTCCTGCATTTCGGTGTATTTTAACGGGTTATTAAAAGTCTACATGCTTGTAACAATATATACATAAATAATTTATTTTTTTTTGAGAACCCCCAAGCACCGGCTCTCGGACCACTGGGTGTCCGGGGACCCGTGAGAACCACTGCCGTAGACAACTTACCTTCAAAAACACAAACAGGGTTCTAACTCGTTCAGTTTTACAGATAATGAGCTCAAATTCAATGTATTTGTAGCTGAGAGTCATTTACAGCACATGCTAAGTTCTACTAATTTCACGGGATCTTTGCTTAAAACTTTGGCTTGTTGAAGCTAAGCCCTTCTTTCTTGAAGATAAATATTTCATGAACAGACTGGACAGATTTTAATGAAACTTGCAATTATTTGATATATCTACATGCTTAGAAGTCAGGCTGTACAAAAATAGCTATAACAGAGGGAGCTAAATATTTGAAGTGATAGTCGCTGAGCGTTATCCACCAAATATAATTTGAGGGCTTATAAATTACAGGAGATTCTACATAATAATAATTTCAAAGTTTGACCAGCTGCCATTTCTCAACATATGATCGTATAGTGATATCCATTCCTTCAAGGAACCCTCGGCTTTAATTAAAATATGAACCAGAGAAAAAAGTAGACAGGAAGCATTTTCAATCAAAATACTTTTATTTAGCAACTCTGTTAATTCTACAGTAAATGTTGAGCTTTATATGTTTACCACACATTAACATATCACACAGTGATTCATTTGATAATTATATATATTTTTTCCCATAGATCTTTGAAAGCAAAGTGGCAACTTACAAATACTCCTACTGAGTTCTCAAGAGCTAAACGGTTTAACAGAGGTACAAAAATGCAATTTGCTTTGAACAGTGCAGCAGCAGAGTTTGTTGAGCCCTTTGGTTTTACTCTTCTGGTTCACAGATGTGTAAAGCTGAAACATTTAAACGTCAACTCTTAAAACCACTCTGTCCCACAGAAATACCCCCCCCCCCCCACACACACACACACAAATGATTTTAGCATTTAATAAGAATAATTTCTCTGATGAGCATGGCTTCCTCCACACTGGGTTTACGTCCTGTTAAACAGCTACAAAATGCTTTACAGTCCTACCATCACCTGGCTTGGCCTGATAAACCAGACTCTGTGGTGCTGCTTGCAGTGTGTGGAACAGATTGCATCACTCAAGGCTGTCAAAAAAATTAAATCAACTAAAACTGAGGAACTGTTGCACACCAGAAACAAAACTCTGACGCAAAAGACAAACAAAAGCATTTAATTTGGCAATTTATTTATTTTATTTTTTTATAAGTATGCTGCATCAGCTTGAAGTTGGAAAAAGGTGGATTGCTCTCTTCAGGTTGAAGGTGAGGTTCTGCCTCAAGTGGAGGAGTTCCAAGTATCTCAGGTTTTGTTCATGAGTGATGGAAGAATGGAGCGTGAGATTGACAGACAGATTAGTGCAGCATCTTCAGTATTGTGGACTCTGTTCTGGTCCATTGTGGTGAACAGGGAGCTGAGCTGTAAGGCAAAGCTCTCTGTTTACTAGTCAGTCTATGTTCCTACCCTCACCTCTGGTCATGAGCTCTGGCTAGTGACCAAAAGAACGAGACTGCAGATACAGGAGGTTGAAATAAGTTTCCTCTGCAGGGTAGCTGGACTCTCCCTTAGAGACAGGGTGAGAAGTTCAGTTGTCAGGAGAGACTCAAGAGTAGAACCGCTACTCCTCCACATCGAGAGGAGCCAGTTGAGATGGTTGGGCATCTGGTAAGGATGCTCCCTGGGTGTCTCCCTATGAGGTGCTTCAGGCATGTTCGACTGGGAGGAGATCCAGGGGAGGACCCAGGACACGCTGGAGAGACTACATCTCTCAGTTGGCCTGGAAACTCCTTGGAATTCTCCCAGAAGAATTGGAAAAGGTGGCCGTGGAAAGAGATGTCTGGGCCTCCCTGCTCAAGTTGCTGCCCCCACAAACTGACTTTGGAATAAGTGGAAGATGATGGATGGATGGATGGATGGAT